TAGAGCCCAACCATTAGCTGTTTAAGTCCTGCCCTGCTTTGTCTTACCAAAATGCTACACCTCATATTTATCTGAATTAAATTTCATCTACTATTTCTTGGCCCACTGGCTCAGTTGATCAAGATCCCATTGTATTCTTAGACAATCTTCATCACTGTCCTCTATTCCACCAACTTTGATGTCATCCCCAAACTTACTAACCATACTTCCCATATTCTCATCCAAATCATATATATAAATGACAAACAACAGTGGAGCCAGCACAGATCCTTGCAACATACCATTGGTCATAGGCCTCCAGACCGAACAACAACCATCTACAACCAGCCTCTGTCTCCTACCATCAAGCCAATTTTGTGTCCAATTGGCAAGCTCTCCCTGGATCCCATGTGATCTAATCTTACTAACCAGTCTACCATGTGGAACTTTGATGATGCTAAAGTCCATTTAGACAATGTCTACCATTCTGCTTTCATCTGTCTTCCTGGTCAGCTCTTCAAAAAACTCAATCAAACTAATGAGACACCATGTCCCACACAAAAAGCCATTCTAACTATCCCTAATCAGTCCTTGCCTTTTCAAATGCATGTAGAATCCCCTCCAACAACTTTACCCACCCAGTGATGTTAGGGTCATCGATCTGCAGTTCTTGCAGTCTTTCTTAAATAATGGCACAACATTAGCCATCCTCCAGTCTTCTGGTACCTTGTCCATGGCTGTTGATGATACAAATAGGGTCAATACAGTGTATTGCTGGAGGAACACAGCAGGTCAGGCAGCATCAGAGGAGCAGGAAAGTTGCTGTTTCGGGTTTACACCCTTCATCAATCCTGATGATATCCGAGCATACACTTGATTAGGTGCCAGGGATTTATGTACCTTTATGTGTTTAAGACCTCCAGCAACTCTTCTGTAATGTGGACTCTTCAAGACATCACTATTTATCTTCCCAAGTTCCCTACCTTCCATGAAAATGACAGGGTATCTCATTAAAACATATCATTTTTTGAGCGAGCTGAACAGACTGGAAGCAAGAATGAAGTTTGGCCTCCTGGGGGGAGGAGGGGGGGCAGTTGTGTTTCCAAAACAAGGGGTCACAGACTCAAAATACAGGCTATACAATATAGGACTGAGATGAGGAGAGGAAGCTCTTCACTTAGAAGGTGGTAAACCTGTGGAACCTCTACCACATAAGGCCATGGAGACTATGTTGCTGAATATATTTAAGAAAGAAACAGATTTCTAAACACTAAATATGTCAAAGGGTATTTGGAGAGAGCAGGAATATGGCATTGAGGAAAAGGTCAGCCATGGTCATACTGAATGGCACAGTTTTGATGGAATGCCCAAACCCTTTGTCTATTTTCTATGTTTCCTCCCTCTCCAGCCACTCCCAAGAACATCTTTCCCACACCTTTCCTAACATTCTGGTCTCTTCTGCATTCCTGATTTCTTTCACTCCACCATTGATACATGTGCATGTGTCTTAGCTCAAACCTTCCTCTTTAAACATCTCTGCCTCACCAGTTCTCACTCTCCCCCTTCAAGATGCTCTCTAAAACCAACTCTTCTCATCTAGTTTTGGTTACCTCTCATGATATCTCCTTTAACTTGGTGCCAGTCATTTTGTCTCATTACTACCCTTTGAAATGTTGTAATTGCAAGTTGCTGCTGGATCATTAACTCATCTAGCTTGTACCCCAGATGTTTCTACAACTATTTAATAACTGGAACACAATTTCAGCATGGGAGTTAATACATTTTACCCATCTAATTATTAATCTCCCTCCAGTGGCAACCTCTGACCTTGACAATTGTGTAGATAAAAACTGACATTTTAGCTTGGCAATTGAATTGTCATATGAATTTGATGTTCTCTGCTGTGTGATTGAACTAACAACAATGTTAATACCTGTATTCTGTCATAATAATAAGTTATGACCAGTTGAAATTGGCATTAACCTTTCTACTTGTGCAGTATGACATTTAATAGAGATTCAATGTGTTATTTTATTAAGGTATTGCTATATATTCAAAATCAGTTGATTTAAGATCAAGCAGAGGATGCCCAATTGGTTTCCTCATAATTTCCTCCCCATGGGCTTTATGTTATTATCATTATACAGTTTATGATATCAAGTATCAATTCTATTCAACTGACTTAGTGAGATAACCAAACGTTGACCATCTATAATAAAAACAGGAAGTACTGGGGAAGCTCAGCAAGCCTGTCATTATCTATGGAGAGTGAAGCAGAGTTACCATTTTGAACTGAAGGTTCTGAAGAAGTTATATTGGATGTGAAACGTTAACTCAACTTCTTTCTCCACAGTTGCTGCCAGACCTGCTGTGTTTCTTCAACACTTTCTGTTTTTTATTTCACATCCTCAGCATCCACAGTATTTTGATTTAACTAAGTGTTATACATCTGGTGCAACTCACCGTATGATAACTCACCATTTGTAACTTTGGATCGAAGGACGAGTATGAATTAAAAGTGGAAAGGTTTTCTTTATTCATTTAACAGGAGGTGGGCATTGCAGGCTGAGCTAGCACATATTACCCAATCCCTAATTGTCCAGAGGACAGTCAAGAGTCAACCACATTGCTGTGAATCTGGAGTTGCATGTAGGCCAGAGCAGGTAAAGACAGCATAGTTTATTCCCTAAGGGACATTAGTGAACCAGGCAGGTTTTCGTGACAATCGCAGTGACTTATATGGTCACCATTGGCTAGCTATTCATTCCAGATTTTTATTGAATTAAAATCTCATCATTTACTACGTTTGTGTGGAGCATAAGCATCAACATTGATTGGTTAAGTTGAAGGGCAGAAATTGTTAGAAAATATCAGCAGGTCTGGCAGCTTCACTGGCGAGAAATCAGAGTTAATGTTCCAGGTTCAGTGACCCTACTTCTGAACTTCAGCAGAACCTCAGAGAACCAAGGCCAGGAAAACCACTTCTCTCCATCCTCACCAATCTAATCATCAAAGATGCCTCCATGTGCAGCAGTATATGAAGGAGTTACTAAGCACAATCCCTGTGGATATAAAGATTTATTTTCACAATGAGGACGCTCCCCCAAATATGCATGATACTACCACCATGCTGAGCATAATAAATTCAGAAAAAAATCTAGCATCTTAAAACTGGACCACCATAAGGTGCTGGAAGCCATCAGCATCAGCAGAATTTTTTTTTGACCATAATCTGTAACCTTGCGGCTACACCTAGCAGTTTTGGGTGCAAGAGTTAGGGAGTCCTCTTGGAGTTGTACAGGATTTTTGAGAGTACCCCCTCCCAGAGCGATATGTACAGTTTTGGTCTCTGTACCTAAGAAAGAACTTGCCTGAGAGAATTTGAAACAAATATTTAATAGATTGATTCCTGGGATGAGAGACAATAGTGCTGCTCTCTTCTTGGTGACTGGCAGTGGTTTAACTGAGAGTCACTACTCCTCAGGCAAGGAGAGAGATTGAGATTGTGGGAATTGAACACATACTATTGGTATCACACTGCATTATCAGCCTGCTATCCAGCCAACTGAGCTAACTGATGCCCTATGTTTTCATAAAAAGGTAAGAGTGAATAAACATAGCCTACATACCTGAAGTTTAGAGGAGATGTGATCTGATTGAAATATATGGGATCCTGAGAGGGCTTGACAGGGTAGCTCTGAGAAAATATGTTGCTGGCAGAAGTGTCTAGAACCAGGAGACTATATTGGGTCAAAATCCTGGAATGCCCCAAGCAAAATTGAAGGAGTACTTCGACCACACCAACTCCACCAATTCAAGAAGGTGACTCCAACTTATTCCTTACGATCAACTAAAGATTGGCAGATTTTCTTTTAATCAAAGCAGCAACCTTATAAGTATCATTTGAGTTTGGATACTCCCATTAAAACTGAGTTATCCAATATGCATAAACAAAATGACCTTCTAACCACTGACTTGTTGTCACACAGCAATTGGACCTTATGGCTTGGAAGTAGAATTTATAACTATTGGTTAGTCTAAGTTAAGAAAGTCCACATGTTATTAATATTCAGAAACCTATGCTAACTACTGTTTGAAAATTTTCAGCATAAATGATCAGTACATGAGAAATTTCTAAACTTCTATCTGTGATTAGTCATTTTATAATAACATTTTCAGTTGGCTAATCTTCTATGCTCTGTTCAGGAGTAAAAAAAATCAAATTTCCATCTCTCACTTTCAATGTAAAGGCATTTCTGTTCGTCTCCAACTCCAGTAGAGTTTTGGGCATGTGGCAATTATGGAGGATGGAAACTCAGTGAGGAAAGCATTAGATATGTGAGGTTTGGATGACAATGGAATTTGTAAGTTTTTGAGTGGCAGAGATGCTGAGGTAATGGAAGAGATGGACAATATTCTGAACATGCAAGGCAAATGGCCTTGGTAATGGAAAAACATCTGAGTTTTAAAGGACAGTTCAGGAATAGCAGGATGCCAAGGCTGTGTTGACTCTGGTCTAGCCTGAAGGTATAATTGCCAAGGGAGTGAAGTTTATGAAGGGGTTTCGTAAACAGTGGCTTCAGTCTTCCTGATGTTGAAATGGCACATTCAAGATTGATGTTAAGCAGTCCAGAAAAATGTTGATGAGATAGAGCTGGATATGATTGGCTTCAGCACAGCATCACACTGTATTCTGGACTGACCCTCTGTCTGAATTTTAACATGAGATTATTCCATCAAAATAAAATTGAAATAAACTAAAAAAAATTAGAAGAAAGGCCCTTCCATATATAACATATACACCATATCTTTATTATAAGCTGAGGTTCATTTCACCTGATATAAACTGCTGGAGGTTGCAACAATTCAAATAGTCACAGAACCTTACAATAGAATTATATTCATTTAAGACTAAATCGCAGATTGCGATGGCTTTGCTTCTTATTTTTATTTTAAGAAATCTAAGTCAACAGATAAATTACATGGTACATAGCACCAGAAAAGCTGAATCAAAGTAAGAAAGCAGATAAGCCAAGAAATAGTAATTGGATGAAACCACATTTGATATTAAAAATACTTAGTAGGACAAGAAGGTTGAGGAAAGGAGAAGTAACAGAAGTCTGAGGGAAAATATCATGGGATGGCACAATGAATTTTTACTTTAATGCATAAAGAACATTGAGTGCAGGAAGACTGTGTAGTTTGATGGATCAGGACCTTGATGAAAGTAAATAAAATTCAGCATAGCAGTAACCACAGCAGAAGCCATAAAATTCTGCGAAACAGGTAGCAATGAAGTGAAGGACTTTGGAGACTTAAGACCATCCAGGTAATTGATCATTAAAATTCTATTCAGATTATGGTATCTTCACAAATATAGCTACAATAGCGTAGTGCAGTGTGTTCTCTTCAGGTTTAGTCCCTCCTGGATGTCTGGGATTGATGAATTTACTCTTGTATTTTTTTTTCACTTGCATTGATAAGTTTGACAAAAATCTTTATGTTAGACAATATGATGCTATATAACCATCACAAATAAGATACATGGCCCATGCAGCAGCAGAAATGATTGTTTCTAGCATTTATAAATGTTTCTGTGAAGTTTTGTCTCCAAATGTACTCTTTACAAAGCTTCTTCTCGTGCTTTGAGGACTTGATGGCATTTTCTTTGTTGATTTTGGGATTGGTTGTGATGCTTGGGTCTTCTTTGGGGAAATCTTCTTGGGTTTATATTGATTCAGAGATTTCAGACCCATCATTTTACAATATACGTTACACTGATGGAGAGCTTTGAATTGGTCAAGAAAGGAAATGGAACAGTTCCCTTTAAATCCTTTGTATCTGAAAGAGAAAAAACAAGAAATGAGATACACCACTGACCTGTTTTGTGTATTGTCCACCCTGTCTCCTGCAGCTGTGAACAGGTCTACTTGTTGGTGCAGCAGCTTCTGTGTACTTTTGTTATACTTGAATTAAAGGAGCAGATAGATTATTGATAAAGAAGTACTATCTGATATGCTGCATCTTCTGTTTTGCTTTGGAAAAGGTAGCTGCATAACTCCATCAATGGTAAAGGCTCCATCCATTGTGAATCTGAAATGTAAAGATTTTGCCTTTATCAAAATGAGTCAGAAGTGGACTCTGTCATTCAAACAATTTTTGTGTAGCTTTAAGGGCCACCAGTTGAGATTTTGGTCATGCAGTACCACAAATATGCCACTAAACTGCACTGTTGCACTTTATCACTTTTTGGTTTGTCATCATCTCTCTTCTTTGAAATAAATTTGGCTATTGTATCAATGATTATGAACTGAAGGTAGTTTGATCATCTGAATGTGCTAAATGTTTTGGGAAATATTTCAGCTGTAGTTGCACATCTTCTTGAAAATGTGATGTGTTCGGGTATATTGGTTAATCACTATCAACTTCAAATTTATAACTCTTTGGTAAAAATAATCTCTGCGTGGTTAAATATTTATCACTTTATCACTTTTTGGTTTAGTCAGTTAAATGAACTTGCCTTAAAATGGCCCAGCAAAACCTATTTGTTCCATTTGATATTTTTCTCAGCACAAGGAGAGTCAATCATTTTCTTCAAATACACCTCGCCCTGCCCTCACTAAAACAAAAGATAAATCTGCACATTCCTGATAAGTTCAGGATCTTTAAGGGATTCTTCACTTTGCATTATCTGGAAAATAATTGCTGCAATTTCTCATAATTTCCAACCACTCATGATCGAAAATAGCAGAACAGAATTTTTTTTAAAATTCTGAATTCTTCTATTCTTAAATAATGAGTATAACAATGTTCCCGTTGGTTCCCAAGTCCAAGAAAGCATACAACTTCAGTTTGCTGCTGTAAACAGGAATTTTGGGAAATGTGTTAACATGTTCCACAAAATAGCCTACTCTCCGTGGAAACGTCTGTCATCTTCTGTTTCTCCTTAGTCTGTCAAACCCTCATAAAAATGGCATAAAGAGCGGAAATTGTAAAACTCCTTTTTGAAACACAGTGCACAAGTATTATCCAATTTATTGCATTGCTCTGCTCCTTCTAAGTGATAATTGCTTGGTTTCATGACAAGGCAAGTAATTCGCTCCACAGTGCCGTACTTCATAATGTTTTCAAAATACCGGGAATGGTGGCAGTTCAGATACTATGGCAGGAAGCCTACAATTGCAGAGAGTGGTGCTTATATGGAATGGGCTGCCAGAGAAAGTGGTTGAGGCAGGTACAATAGCAACATTTAAATAAACATTTGGATAGGTACATGGATGGGAAGGGTTTAGAGAGATATGGACCAAATGCAGGCAACTGGAACTAGATGAGTGGGCACCATGGACCAGTTTGAGCTTCAAGGGCCTGTTTCCATGCTGCATTAGTCTATTACTCTATCTATGGCATGTGCCAGAACTACTTATGGCAACAATAATCTCCTGTGGAAACCAAATGGGATGGGGCTGGGGAGACAAATAAAAATAAAGCAATTAGAGGTTTTGCTACTTGCTTCCAGACCTGATCCAGCCAACTGGAATTTTAAACTGTAGGCAGAAAGATTTTTGATCAAAAAGGCAGCCATGCATTTTTTGAGGGGATTAAAGCCACAATTCAGAAAAGTCACATTTATATTGAATGGGGGAGTTGACTAAGGGACCAAATGGCCTATCTCTGCTAGGATTTTGTATGATTTTGAAGTACATCCATAAGGTGTTAGAGGTCTGAGGTTGACTTGGATTGTTTTATTGAAAGAGAGGTGTGGGTATTTATTCTTGGGGGACAATAATGGCAGTCTACAATGAGTAAACCCTGATCCTCCCGAAGTCCCAGAAGGATGTATAAATATTAAACTACGAAATTGCGTTGTGATCTATCTCATTACCAAGATAAAAAGGAGTTGGGTTCAACTATAACAAATTAATATTTCTACTTAGATACATAGTTAATGTATTTCTATGCCATAGGAAAGTGTGTCGAGGAAGCCATTTTGAGATTGCGTTACAGACTCCAGGAAAGTGGTACGTCTGATGATTGGGAACAATCTAGCACGCAACAAAGGAAGACCAAGAAACTAATAAGGAAAGTTAAAATAGCCTATGATTGTAAGAGAGCAAGGAGCATAAAGATGGACTCAAAGAGTTTCTATTGATATATAAAAGGGAAAAAAGGTTAGAAAGGATAAATGTGGGTCTGTTACACGTAGGGACAGGAACATTTATAATGGAGAATAGACAAATGGGGAGGAACTAAGACCTTAAGATGTAGGAGAGGAGTTGGGCCATTTGGCATATCAAGTCTGCCCCACCATTTGATCATGGCTGATATGTTTCTCCATCACATTCTCCTGCCTTCTCCCCAGAATACTGATCCCCTTACTAATCAAGAAACTATCTATCTATCTCTGTCTTAAATGTACTCAATGACCTGGCTTTCACACCTTCTGTTCCACAGATTCACCATCCTCTGCTTTGTGTCCGTCTTCACAGGAGAAAATGCAGAAAACCTCTGAGAAATACAAAGTGACCAAGGGCTGTGGAACTGAAAAGCTAAAATATATTAGTATTAGAAAAGAGGTGGCACTTGAAAAGTCAGCTGCAGTGAATGCTGATAAATCTCTTGAATCAAATGGGCTACATCCCAGTGTTTCAACGGAAGGTAACAAGGGAGTAATGGAGATAAGTGGATGCATTGATGGCTACATTTTATAAATCTAAAAGTTTCTGTTGATTGGAAGGTAGTAAATGTAACTCCACTCTTAAAGATGGGAGGAAGATGGAGAATGGAGAATTATAGACCTGTTAACTTGATGTCCATTGTAGGACAAATATTAGAATGTTGTACAAAGCATGTGAGAGCTGAACATTTAAAAATAATCCCAAAATCGGGCATGGTGAAAACTGATTTGTGAAAAGGAAGTCATGTTTTACAAACATGTTTGAGTTTTTTGAGGACGCCACTTGCAGCATAGATAAAGGAGAATTAGCAGATGTAGCATTTTTGGATTTTCAGAAGGCTTCAATAAGATCCCACACAGGTTAGGAATCAGTTAATAGACAGAAAGCAGGAGCATAGGAAATAAATGGAAATAAATGGATCATTCTCAGGGGTGCCAGGCTGAAATCAGTCAGGTACTGCAAGGGTCCGTGCTAAGCTCAACAGCTGTTCATAATCTATGTAAGTAATTTGGACACGGGGATCAATTGGAATATTTCCAAATTTGCTGTTGATACCAAACCACACTAAGTTTTGAGGAGGGTACATGAGGCTTCAAGAAGATTTTGACGGTTAAGTGAATGGACTGGAACATGGCAGATGGAATATAATGTAAACATCTGTGAAGCTATTCTCATTGGTAAAAAAAACACAATGAATATTTCTTAAATGGTACGACAAGTGTGGGTGTCCCAAAGGGTCAGGGTGATGCTGTCGTTGAGTCATTTGCAAATGGTATGTTGGCATTCATTTCAAGTGGATTTTGGGTACAGAAGTAAAAATGTCTTGGGGCAGTTGTATAGAGCCTTGGTATGATCTCACCTGCAGTATTAGGTACAGTTTGGTCTTCTTATCAATCCTTGAGGTTGATTTGTGAGGAGAAATTGAGGAAACTGGGTCTGTACTCACAAGAGTTTTTAGGAATGAGAGGTAATCTAATTGAAATTCAGAAATTTCTTACAGGACATGATAGGATGGATCTAAATCTGATTTGGAGGTGCCAGTGTTGGACTGGGAGGACAAAGTCAAAGGTCATATGAAGTGACTTCACCTGATGAAGGAGCAGCGCTCCGAGATATTGTGGCTTTAAATAAACTTGTTGTACTATAACCTGGTGTCCTGTGACAATTGGCGTACAATCTTAGGATGAGGGACAGGTTATTTAAGATTGTGATGACGAGGAATTTGCTTACTCAGAGTGGTGAAGCTTCATAATTCTCTACCCCAGAGAGCTGTATGGCTTACTCCTGTTCCTCTTGGAAGCTGGGAATAGCTGTGAACTGTTTTCTAGAAGAATTGCAATTTAATAGAGTGTGTGATGAGTCATGAATAACAAGGAACTTTTTATATTTTATTTGCCAACAAAGAAAGTAGTATTTAATCAGTTGTTTTTTTTTAGTCATTTGATACAATAAATGCTATTAAATGTGAAATCTTGATGCACATTTTTCAGCTACTAACCAGGAGTTTGATTCATTTTAATAGTTATTGGCCCCTATAGCGATCATAACAATACGAAATATCAACAAAAGGCATCTCAGGTGCCTTTTTTTAACAAAAGAAAGATATGGCAATACATAATTACTGATACATCTTTTTGTTATTTATGTTGTTTTATGTTGTGGTAACTTGGTGCATCAACTTTCTGTTCATTTCTTCTGTATCACATTGTATTTCAAGGTAGAGCAGATAACAGCATGCATCCCAGAGCAGCTTCATTAGTTTTAATGGGAGCTGCCATTTTCTATCAGCACTGGGATGATGCTGGGCTGCCTGTCACTGTCTGATCTAGGGGAGAAATCACATTACTGGCTACCATTGTATAGATTGAATACCTGCCATTATATTGCAGATGTGTGACTCACTACACCAAACAAGAATTGTCATCATCTCTCTTCTTTGAAATAAATTTGGCTATTGTATCAATGATTCTGAACTGAAGGTAGTTTGATCATCTGAATGTGCTAAATGTTTTGGGAAATATTTCAGCTGTAGTTGCACATCTTCTTGAAAATGTTATGTGTTCGGGTATATTGGTTAATCACTATCAACTTCAAATTTACAACTCTTTGGTAAAAATAATCTCTGCGTGGTTAAATATTCTGGGTTGCCAGTTGTACAATACACAGAATAAAGGAGGGAGGAATGGCAAAATGTTTTCTTTTAACTATTTTTTCATAAGATTTACATGCAGTTGCCAAAGCTAGCATGTATTGCCTATCTGTAATTATCCTTGAGATGGTGACACCTTCTTGAATTTCTGCACCTCATGCAGCATAGGCACCACATGAGCCTTGGCAAGTTGCTGCAGTGTATCTTGCACACAGTACACACTATTGTACTCCAAGCTAGTGACAGAGGAAGTGAATGTATAACGTAGTAGATGGGGTGCTGATCCAATGGGCTACTTGGTCCTCAATGGTATTGAGCTTCTCATGTATCGTGGGTTGCTGGCAATTGAATCAGCATAATGATTATTGGATATAACTGCAAACGTTCTATGGCTGAATAGTATAAAATTAAATGAAAATGTACAGAATCATTGATCTTTCATTGGTGAAGTTCATATTTCCTAAATAAACTCAATATTATTTAATGTTTCCTCAGGATGCAGACAAAATTGGAAATGGGCATCTATTGCTTATTGCCATTTGCAAACAGTTGATTTTATGACTGAATAGTTTGCTATTCTGAGAGTATAAAATGGTATGGACTACAGCCACGTATAACCAGGTTAGGCAGGGATGGGAGGTTCCCCCACTGGAGGATATTACTAAATCAGTGTCTTTTTACAACAATCCAGGATTCAGGTCTTTATTTTTCTGGTGTCAGATATATTGAGGCTAATTTCATAACCTCCCTTGGTAGGCTTTGATCCTATTTCTGTTGTTCTGTCGCAGCACTACACATACCTTCTATCCAACGGGACAACAGTCAAGGCAGCAGCCTAGACTTGAGTTCACTTGGGAACATGCACTGATACAACTTATTCTCCAGGTATTACCCTGGAAGTTGGAACTTCTGATAGGCAAGTGGATCCCTTCAAAAATATTCCTGACTGTGTCTTAGGATTAGAGACAAACTTACTTCCCTAGTTAGGCCAGGAAAGGTCAGAAGGATTAAAACCCTCTTTAACTGCTGGCTACCTCTAAAACTACACCCTGCTTACCACTGACACCCTCAATTATCCCCATGAACACCCAAACTTCATCCCCTCCTGATCTAAACACCTGCCCTTCGCCTAGCCATCCAACTCAGAGACTCTCTGGCTCTAACATCAATCTGTTCATTCCACATCCCCTACCCTGACCAAACCAACCCCCCATCCCACCCTAACTCCCCCCTTCCCCCACCCCCAAGACATGACACAGGCCACATCACTTCATCCCCACACAGACCCTTGGATATATACTTCCAACCTTCCCTGCCCTGCAACAACCCTCTGCTCCATTGGAAACACTGCACCCCTGTCCTGGCCACAGCCTCAGTGAAGGCCACTCAAGTGACAGTGATCACCATCTCTACCATTTGGCTAAGGACATGCATCATTGCCACCCTAAGTCCTGGGGTCCAGTGAAGTGGGAAAAGTGCAGCCCAAAAGGCAGTTGGGAAGAGGGGGAATGGAAATGCCAGGGAGGATTACGGAGCACCAGTGGGATGGGATTTGATGTGGAATGGAGAAACTTGAGGGATGTGTCGCTTCTTCCTCCCAAAATCCGAGGAGGGTGACATTCTGGGTTCTTCCCCTACCTGAACTCCACACATCTGCATAAAACTGAGGTTGGATGGGATGTGCCCTTGAATATCCTATAATTAGCAACTAAGTGTTCGTCTTAGGCCTTGCCTGTCCCATGTAACATTCCAGGCAGGAGAACAGTTTGAAAATGCTCCATTCTCTACTCTCTGTCCAGAAACTAATTCTCCATCAATCCTCAGATATTATCCCTCACTCCACAAACCCCTATGTTAAGAAATGAACTTTTGTGTGCCACCTTACTGACTGCTTTTTGGAAATCTAATTATATTACACCTACTGGCTCCCTTAATCTACTTTACAATTTGCAGCCTCAAAAATAAACTGAAAAGTATTTGTCAAACATAACCTTATGCCCACTGACATCAACGATACTGAAACTCAGCACCGAATAGGTACAAAAGGGGAGAGTTAAGCATGAGAGGAAATCAAAATTTAAACTTCCATTCTTTTGATAATATTCTTGATGGGGCTTCAATGCAGCACTTTTAAGATAGTCTTACTATTTCTGATTAAAACTTTCGCAAGTAATTTACAGTAATAACATTACAGATACATGACATCCGTCTAGCAACAGAGAAAATGCTGTTGCAGCATCATTAAGATACAGAGAATAAGCTACTGTAAAAGTACAGCTCATCATTTTCTTCACGTACCCTTTTCGACTGGTTGCTATTCCAACGTCAGTTAATTTCATTCCAACACCTACAGAGAAACAATTGGAAAGAGTATGTTTTGTTTACAAATGCTGTAAATATTCAGACAAAAGTTATTCCTTAAGTGGAAACAAAATGAAAATCTGTGAATATTGGACATCTAAAATGGTAGCAATGCAATTTAGCAGGATCTAAAAAAAAATAGGTTAACGTGAAAGACTTGTAAAGTGAGCAGGGAATGCATCCTTGCTGTCTAAAATGTTAACTTCACATTTTCTTTCAGATACTGACTATGCCCTTGTGCCAGCTGAATTTTATTTCAGTAAACAGGGAACTAATAAGATTGGCCTATCTGTGTGGGAAATCTACAATGATGATAATGCGCTACAACAGTAAGTGCAGCACAGATTGAGAGACAGAACTTGAATACTTACATTTTGACTGGATTTATACATGAAAGATAAAAATAAATCAAGGGTTATGGGTAAAGCGCAGGTGTAGCACTAATTGGATGGTTTCCTCAAAAGAGGAGTAATGGACTGAATGCTGTGTGATTCCATGGTAATTACAACATTCCTTTATATTCTTATATTGGAACAGTTAACACACTTAAACTGATCATCCTACATATCTATGAGCACGTGCTTACACATACTCTTATAAATGGTTTCAAAGCAGTACATTGTATATACCTTGCATATCTGTGACAAGGAGGTTGCCTTCTGTCCATTGATAAACCCAATGTTGAAATGTACAACATTTCAGACCGACATCAGATTCTTTCCTACCAGAATTCAGCTCTCTGCCATCCTTCATCGAATACTTAACAAACTCCCCAATCAGTTCCTCTTCTATTGTTGCATAAGGGACGTCGTTTGCTGGACAATGAACGAGATAAATGGGAATGACTCTAGAAAAGAAACATGACTGTGTAACATCTACACAGGATGTGTAACTCTTGCCACTGGGTAACAAAAAAACACTTGTTATTTAATTGCAATAACTAAAAGAACATGAACTATAATCAGAAATCAGCATGATTGTTAATTAAATTATTCAGAAATGTGTAACTGAATCATGCAGGTGAGAAGTTTCCATGTTCAGTTCTGGGCTGCATGAAGTCATCTGAAAAAGGATGGCAATGTGTGTATTAGTGGCCTCAGTATTCCTGAAATGGGAATGTGTTCCATTCTCCAGATCTAATCTATCAAATTTTGATAAAGGAATCTCGCACTGAGCAACTCACTACCTGACTCCCCAAAGCCTGTCCACCATCTAGAAGGTACAAGCTGGCAATGGAATACTCCCCACTTGCCTGGATGAGTGCAGTTCCAACAACATTCACAAAGCTTGACATCATCCAGGACAAAGCAGCCTTTTTGATTGGCACACATCCACAAGCATCCACTCCCTCCACCACTGATGCTCAGTGGCAGCAGTGTGTACAATTTACAAGTGGTACTGCAGGAATTCACCAAGGTTCCTTCGCTAGCACCTGCCAAACATTCAACCATTACCACCTACAAGGACAACAGATAAATGTGAACACCACCACTTGCAAGTTCTCCTCCAAGTACAGACTTGGAAATATATCGTTGTTCCTTTAGTATCACTGGGTCAAAATCTCAGAATTCCCATCTTAACCTTATTGATCATGTATCTACAGCACATGGACTGCAGCTTACCATCACCTTCTCAAGGGCAACTAGGCATGGGCAAAAAATGCTGGACCAGCCAGTGACATCCACCTGCACCAAATGTAATAACTGTGCCACCAACGTTCATTAAAAACGGGTCCTCTATCATTCCCATATGAAATCAGCCCATAATAAGGCAGAAAGAGTGAAGGTGGGTGACAGGCTGGCTGTAATTCAGCTCCTCATCCCTTATGTAGACCTGAATAACTGTTTTCAAACTCTTGGACTGGTATTAGATGCTGTCCCTGACTGAATGTGCTGGGACCTCTTGACTGGAGGTTACCTCCCTTGACTTGGCTGCTGGAAACCATGACAAGCTTCCTGGCTTTGTGTCTGCACTAAATGGAAAGGCAGTATTGTGAGCCTGGTATCTCCAGCTGAGGAGCAAGGTGGTAAAAGGTAAGACAAAGCAGTGATGCTAGAGTATCCAGGTAGGCTCAAAATGACCGAACACTAAGAGAGCAAGCAAACAGCTTGGTGATGCAGCCTGATCCAATCCATGAGCTGGTGCATGTCCACAAATGCCAAGTGTCCTTGCTGCAGCATTACAACCATTGTTGCTGCCGAAGCACAAGGTGCAGTGTTGAAGTATAAAAGCACACTCTCAGTGTACTGGAGAACTGCTTTGAGGGTTCTTAGAGATTGCCACTTGCCGACTACCAATGTCCATGTACATGGGGTGCATGTTGAGATACTGTTACGTGGAGGCTCATCTCAGCCAGCAATAAGCTGAAGTCATCAGGTACCCGCTCTGAGTCCCAAATCAAGAATTCTTGGCCGCTGATTTGCTTGCAGTGGATGATAAGTTAGAAATGAGGCAAGACTGGAATCTAGGCACCTTATTTAAGGAAGGATGTTAAAGCCCTGGAGAGGGTTCAAAGGAGATTTACTTGGATGATACCAGAAATGAAACATTTTAGATACAAAGAAAGATTATAGAGATTGGGCTAATTCTCCCTGGAGCAGAGAAGATTAAGAGGTGACCTTATTGAGGTGTTCAAAATTATGAACAATTTTGCAAGGGTAGGGAAGGATATTCTGTTTCCGCTAGTTGGTATGTCAGTAAGTAGGGGTCACAATTCAAAGATTTTCAGCAAAAGGGCTAGGAGTGAGATGAGGAGAAACTTCCTTACACAGAGAGTTGTTAGGATTTGGAATCCACTACCTGGGAGAGTGGTAGAGGCAGATATCATCAGCAGTTTCAAAAGTAAGGTGGATATATATTTGAAAGTGATGAAGTTAGAAGCTACAGAGATAAGACTGGAGAGTGGGACTAGCTGGGTAGCTCTTTCAGGAACCAGTAAAGATAAGATGAGTTGAATGGCCTCCTTCTGTACTGTAAAATTCTATGATCCTATGTGCCATTAATAAGGTGGTTAAGAAGCAATAATTCTCCTTAATAGGCAAGGAATCACAAACTGGCAAGAATTTCACCGCATGTCCAGAGCTTAGTTGAGATAGGTTTTGCCAGACATGTGGCTTGATTCTGCCATATTTCTTGCCATAGCCCACATTTGTTCAGGTCCATTTATTAGATTCCACTAATGGAATGTAACTTATAAGACGCGCTTGCATGGCAGCATTTTGTTGGCAGTATCAGAATTTACAGTATTATGACCATTCTCATTACTATGCTCACTTCAGTTTTTAGAATCAACGTTAATACAAATGACTATGTAGTCTGATAGCACAGTCAACTGAAGATCCACCCAGTAAAAAAAAACACATTTACTCACTCAGGAGCTTCGCCAAAGCCTTCTAATAATGTCCCCTCTGCAGAAAACATGTTGCCATATTGCCGAGCAGCACTCTGTACATGGCATTCCTAAAAGTAAACAACAAGGTTTTTTAGTCCACTGTAATAGAAACAGACATTTATCATCCTTGTGCTCTAGTTACAGTAACCATTCCTACTGTTGATACTTTTAAATCAAATCTTTGATGGCACCTTCCTCATGTGCCACCTCTAGTACCCAGAAGAACAAGGGCAGTGCTGCATGGTAACACTTCCATCCCCAAGCTTCCTTCCAAGGCCATGTAGTATTCTGACACAGGACTATATTATCATGCCATCAGTATCACTGGGTCAAAATCCTGGAACTCCCTTCCTAACAGAAATGTTGGTATGCTTGCATCGACCCACCATGGACAGTAGTGGAACAAAAACAGAAGTTGCTGGCAAAATTCAGCAGGTCTGGCAGCATCTGTGAAGAAAAAATCAGAGTTAACGTTTTAGGTATAGTGATGTTAACTCTGAATTTTTCTTCGCAGATGTTGCTGGACCTGCTGAGCTTTTCCAGCAACTGCTGTTTTTGTTCCTGATTTACAACATCCGCAGTCCTTGCAGTTTTTAAGTAGAGGTTTGAGAAGGCAGCTGAACACTACCTTCAGAAGGGCAATTAGAATTTAGCCAAAACATGTTGCCCAAGCCAGCGATGCCTACATCCCATGACCAAATAAACAAAATCAATTGAAAATAAGACAGCATCACCGCATGAAAGTTTGTACACTGATTACAACATCGGAAAAGGCCACTCAACTCAATTAGTCCATGTTGTTGTTTACCTTGCCCATGAGAAAATACTTCTAATTCCATTTGCCCACCCTGTTATGCACTTGCATGAACTTTAACCCACTTTTCCTTCATATACCTATCCAAACTGATCTTAAATGTTGACATTGTTTCTACGTCAACTACTAACCCTGGAGATGAATTCCATAGCCTCACAACTCCGGTTGAAAAAGTTTCTCCTTCACTCTGATCTAAATCTCTTAGATTTCAGCTGTGTTGTACTTTCTCCAAAACATTAATATAATTATTGTATTGCAAAGTCAATCCTGCACCTCTAACTGCAGCCTTATAAACATTCTACATAGACTTAGATCTGTTGGGTCTTACAAAATTTGATGTCAATGGAGCATAACATGGGGGCATAGGGAGGGGGAGTTGGGCTGCAAAACATTCAACTGACCCAAATCCACCCTGCGGGTTGGGTTAAAACTGAGACTTCCACATATACCCGTGTCATGTCCAGTGAAAGCATGTCATATTCATGACTTTAAATTTGTAACCTATGTTCATTTAGATACTTCTGGAACAGTCTTCATATTTAAAAATGGACACTGATGAACTGTTACGAAACGACAAGCGTTAGGTGACCTTTGTTTAGTCAAGATATACTAGCTCAGATTTTCCAGAGAATGTCCATTTAATTAAATAAAACAAAGAGCTGCGGATGCTGGAGATCTAAACCAAACACAGAAAACAGAAGAGTGACTCTGGACTGGAAACGTTAACTCTGTTTTTTCTCCACAGATGTTGCTAGATCTGCTGAGTTTCTCCAGCAATTTCTGTTCCAATTTAATTAAGGTTGGATGGATACACCCTTAAGGACCCCATTTTTGGCACTTCACTTGCAATTGTTTGAAGATTCACCTAAAATTCAAGTTCAGACTCCATGGCTATGATTGGGAACTCTAACAATGAGAAGTGGACAACAACCAATTCATCTTATGTAAGTGTGAAGGTGCTCATCCATTATCCTATTACACAGAAATAGCTTTCTGTTAAGCCTTACAGATAAACAACACCAGTTTCAATCACATGATCAAAACTAGCTTGAGATTATGTATTTATTTAAGACTAAGATAGTCATTATAAGGAAGAAACTAAAGGCTGCAAGAATGCTGACAATGACAAAGCTGTGCCATCTTTGCCTGTGAAGAACTGGGAGGCCGTAAAATAATTAGAAACCCTCTTAACCTGATTCCAAAATGTTGAGTCCATCTGTAAAAAATTAGACCTCCTGATGCCTAACTTCATGACCTGTTGAACATTCATCTGTTCAAAGGAATCCAACAGCAAGAACACCTACTGTCCAAACAATGGTAACACTTCGAGACCTGACCATATCAACTTGCAGTGGAAGGGAAGATCAACACATTACTGCAAAGTTACAGTGGGAGACAGTAAAAGCTCATGATCACAGTGCTAGATTTTTGAGAAGGATTAGTGCTCTTTCTCACTTGATACTAATTATTTACAAACACGCTTTACAAATTCTTTTGACTGTTGAGCAGGGTTTTCTTAAGGCTTTCTGGTTAGGCTGCCCAGTGGTGAGTACTAATGGGAAGTTAATGTATAGAATATTTGTGCATTGGTACTTCAAAATTGTACTGTAGTCCTAGTGACGTCATTCATCGAACTTCACAGGTCAACAAGGCTAGTGCCTATTTCTAGCAAGTCCCTGGGCTGCCCAGTACTGCTCCAAACAAAAAGGTGGCTGATCCATATGTTAACAGTAATTGAGTAGAAAGTATTGCAATGGCATTGTGCAACAACCCCAATGTACTGACCACAAAAGGCGATAGAAATCAACCCCTAATTATGTTCTGTTAAAGAAGAGAAGCTTTGTGAAGAAACGGCTGAAATAAATCTGTGGAAGAAAAAATTATGCATGCTTGCGGTATCAGACCTAGAAACATTGCATAGACGTGGAGGTAGTGGTGTAGTGATAATGTCACTGGCTTACTAATCCTAATGGTTTGAGGACATGGGTTTGAATCCTGCCATGGCAGATCATTTGAATTTAATTTGAAAAGGACTAGAATAAAAAGCTAGTCTAATCATGACCATGGAACCATTGCCAACTGTTGTAAAAACCCATCTGAATCACTGATGTCTTTTAGGGAAGAAAATCTGTCATCCTTACCTGGTCTGACCTACATGTCACTCCAGACCCATAGCAATCTGATTGACTCTTAAATGTCCTCTGGGTAATTAGGAATGGGCAATAAATGCTGGCTTAGCCAGCAATGTCCACATCTCATGAATAAATAAAATAATTGATATAATACATTGTATAATTAATATCGACTTTGTTTGACAATTCCATTTGGCATACCATTTTAAATGTATGCTGAAACAATTTTTTTATTAAAGCAGTTTTGCGTGATCCATACAGGATATTTCAAGGAGCTGCTTTCTTATGTCAATCTGTATATTTTACCTGTACTGCCAGTACATAGTTCTGTTTTATGAGCTCGCTGTTTGCTTTGGTTCCATGCGAAATGGCATTGTGAATTTTTAAGACACACCTATGTCCAGGATCGAACAGAGGTAAAAGGCCATAAATAACTTTAGTCCTAAATGCTTTTCGGTGCAATCCTTCACCAAAATGTAACTCTTCTGTTGCAATACTGCCACACATCTTGACATCAAAATTGCACTCATTTGTGAGATCCTTTTCGATTATGGGTTGTAACAACTCAATCTTCTCTCCTAAAATATAAGAATGAGAAAATAATGTTATTGTAGTTTGAGGGATTGACTATGAGACTGTGAACCCACTTGATTGGCATCTCAACACACATTAAACATTCCTACCTGCCACTGCCAGTGCACCATGGGTGCAGCATATACCATCCACAAAATGTCAAGCAGCAACTCACCGGGGCTCTTTTCACAATACCTTCCATATATGTACATCTACCTCTACTGCCTAGAACTAAGAGGCCCGCAGTTAAATGACAGCACCACCATGAGACAGTTCCCTTCCAACTCACCGGCTTGCAACAATTTCACCATTGCTTCATCATCACTCGTAGGGAGCCAATGGTCTAGTGGTATTATCGCTGGACTGTTAACCTAGAGACCCAGATAATGTTCTGGGGACCTGTTCTGGCAGATGGTGGAATTTGAATTCAATCAAAATATCTGGGATTAAGAATCTCATGATGACTGTGAATCCATTATCAATTGTTGGGGAAAAACCCATATGGTTCCCTAATGCCCTTTAGGGAAGGAAACTGCCATCCTTACCAGGTCTGGCCTATGTGTGACTCCAGGCCCACAGTAATGTGGTTGACTCTTAACTGCCCTCTGGGCAATTAGGGATGGGCAATAAATGCTGCCCAGCCAGTGATGCCCTCATTCCATAAATGAATGAATTAAAAAAAAGTTGTTGCCAAGAGCTTTTTCACGAGAAGCATGCTGAGCAACGTAAATTGTTAGAAAATATACAAGTACAACTCAAAATATTGAATGATATTTTGGGACAAGTAGCTACTGCTGAATATTCACTCGGTTAGTTTAGGCAAGTTCATATTGGGCACTGAACATTTGATGTGTGTTCATTACTGCCGTAATTGACATTCCAGTAATTCTAAGATCAAGCATTACACCTTCAACATAATGAGAAAAGAAATGCAAGTTTAATACAGTGTTTTCAATGAAGACAAACCATTTCCTTCCCTAAAGGACATTAGTGAAACAGATGGGCTTTTCCAACAATCGACAATAGATTCATGATCATCATTAGATTCTAAATTCCAGATATTTATTGAATTCAAATTTCACTACCTGCCATGCCGGGATTCAAACCCAGGTCCCCAGAACATTATCTGGGTCTCTGGATTAACAGTCCAGTGATAATACCACTAGGCCATTGCCTTCCCCTAAAGGAATTAACTCCATGCCTGTCAATGATCTTTCTCCTCCCAATCCATGGGGTTAATGTCTCCATGTTTTAGGGCAATTTTGAGCAGAACCTTTTCCCTTTTTCCCTCTGACCGCCCTTTGAGTGTTAGCCATTGAAGAGCTGGGAGAAGAGCTAATCCACCTAACCCACACATCCCTGGACATGGTGGGCAGTTTACCATGGCCAATCCACCTAATCTGCACGTCTTTGGACTGTGAGAGGAAACTGGAGCATCCGGAGGAAACCCACGCAGACACGGGGACGATGTGCAAACTCCACACAGACAGTTGACCAAGGGTGGCGTCAAACCTGGGTCCCTGGTGCTGTGAAGCAGCAGTGCTAACTACTGAGCCACAGCAGCAGGGAAGTCAATAGTTGCTGGGGCATTGTAAGTTTGACGCCTGACAACTACTGAGGTTGAATAGAACCAACTGTTGAGAAAAATCAGATGCTACATCCTCAAAAGAAAGGGGACAAAACCCTCTCGCCTGACACAGATGGCAGACCTTTTGCAGTATGTGAATGACACTGGCAATAGCGAGAAACTTGGGAAAATACAGCAAGATTGGAAAATGAGATTCTTGACATTGAGAAAACAAAGAGTCAAATTTCCTCTTAAGGCTTGAATGGCTAGTTGAGAATCTCATTTGTAAGCAATGAAGGGCCTGTTTGCATGCCTTAATATCTTATTAATTACTAATTTCGCATATTTTATATGCAAGTTGCTATTTTCCAGCAACTGGTGAAAACCAGATAGCGTTAATTCCCAACTTGAAACTCTGAGTGATTACCTGATAGCTATAGCCCATTGGCATCTATTTTAGAACTCCATCTTGGCCAACATTACCCAATACCTTAGGGCACGCTCCGTGGACAGCAGCAGCTGGCACTCTCAATCTATGGAAGTTTTTTTTATTTATTCATTGCTGGCTAGGCCCGCATTTATTATCCACCCCCAAATGCCCTAAGGGTATTTAAGAGTCAACCACATTGCTGTGGATCTGGTGTCACATGTAGGCCAGACCAGGTAAGGATGGCAGTTTTTCACTTCCCTGAAGGACATTTAGTGAACCAGATGGGTTTTTCCCGACAATCAGCAGCGGTTTCATGGGCATCATTACACTTTTCATTCCAGATATTTATTGAATTCAAATTCCACCATGAGGATTCAAACCTAGGCCCCCAGAGTATTACCTGGGTCTCTGGACTAACAGTCCAGTGATAATACCACGAGGCCATTACATCCCCTCAGCATTGGCAAAGCACTAATCATGATGTGTCTTTGACTAACTTATAATACAATTCCATACTTCAAGACTGCACTTTGGAGCTCAACATCACCTTCCATTTTAATGCTGTTGCAAGACTGCTTTGCGTGCAGCAACAGGTACCCATCTCATGCATTGAAGCAGGGTGCATCTGAGGTCTCTTAGTTTGCTCTTTTACCACTCACTCACTTTACACTTAGTTCAATGCTAACAACATCTCTGCCTTGACCTGCCTTACATTTTAGCGCATTGCCACTTAATTCAGAACTCAGAGACTCACAGTCACTCCATCTTGCCTTGCCTTGCCTTTTAGTTTCATCTAAAAGCCAGGTACCTTGCCATGTTTACCAGCAATGATCAGATAACGGGGCAGACATGTTGCTGAATGGCAAGATGTTACATCAATGTTATACTTACAGCGCATACCATAACGTGGTGAACATGCTGTATGCATTTCAAACAAGTTTCCATGTCTGAGAATCTAAAGGGAGTCATGTCTAGATCAGGCAAGGGGAACTGTAGTCAATAAAGGAGTCCTGCATAGTCAAAGGCATCATCCGATCACAGCCCAAAGGCTGCTTAATGCAATCAGGCCCCAAGGATCATGTCCTCACGGTTCAAGGAGTGAGCCATGGTCAGTCCTGTAGGTCAAATCCAAACAGTCCTGAGACTATTGGCAAGTCAGTCAGGAAACTGCATAGAGATCAGTTCATGGTTTGGTCAGTCAGGGTTCCATATTGTTCAGGAAATGGGACACGGTCAGTTCTTGGCGTTTTAATCCGAAACATCAAGGGCTGATAACAGGATGACAGTGCTGTTTTTGGAAAGTTGGGAACGTCCAGTGTGGGACTGGAGGCAGCATGCTAGGATGCAGAGATAACATGGGAAGGGTCAGGGTATTGCAGGACGGGGTGTCACTGACAGTCACCACGACCCTGGCTTCAATGGGGAAACAGTACATGACGATGTTGGCTATTAGTAATGCGGAACTTGCAACCTGAAGGGCTGGGCAGCCCTGCAGGTCTCCAGCTCGAGTTACAATGATCACTGCCATCTGGTTGGGTTGGTGAGAAAATTTGTAGGATCTGTTTGACTGCGGTTGCCATTTAATGTACAGTTTATGGTGTGTTCAACCATACTTTGGCTGTTAATTTATATTTGCCTCCTGTTAGTTCTGGATGTTAAAATATGAGATAAATGATATTCGCTGTTTATGGACCCCTGCATAATAAAATGTTTATTGGCTATTTAAAGCTATTGCTTCTTGTGGCTTTATCCACTCAATAAGCTATTGGAATTTCAAATTTTATCTACTTTTTAACAAAGGTTACTGGTCATGAATGTTCCCTCTAACCTGCATGTGCAGCTGCTGTAGGCACACTGACTGGTGTGCTGACACATTGGAAACAATGCACAGTGAGGGAAAAAAAATGATAGGAAACATTGCTGATCAATAGCCTGATAGGCAAAAACATTTGCAGATCTTATCCGGTATCATTACAGCATGGCTCTTGAAATCTTCCCTTGGTGCATGCTGGATGAGTTGGTATTGACTGGTCACATACGGCATGAAGGGCCAAGCAGAGACAGTGGGAGGCATGGGTTGGCATTGACTTGGCACGGAGGAAATGATGGGCCATGGGACTGCACTGTTTTGGCATGGAGGGTATGAAGAATCATGGTGGGTGAGGGGAGGTCGTACGGTGGCCTTCAGGTAACTGGGAGATGATGAGAGACAATCAGGTGGGTGTGATGCTGAGGTGATGCGAAAGCTACAGCACTCAACGAGTTCTAAAACAAGTCAAAGGAAATCCCAACGAACCAAGGTGGGACTTATCATCACACTGCCTTGGCACAGAGCTGTCCTGGGCACTACATACACTTTGCCATTCTACCCTGCAACTGTACTCGTCAGAGTGAAAATTCCATGATTCAGAATAAGTTTTAACCGAGGGGCCTTGGAAATTTCCTGACTCAAGTTAATCGTCTTGATATTGAAAATATGGCCCCATATTTCTACAACTAGACCATAGACAAATCAAATTAAAGGAGGCTTGTAGCAAATGGCATCATGCAGTCAATTCATTTGTAGACTGACCACATGTTAAAAAACTTACAGACATCACAGTATACATTAGTATCTCACCTGCCCCTGAATCAGGGAAAGCATGAAGATCATTGTAATTGTTTGACTCGATGCAGCCGTGCCCTAGTTATTCAAACAAAAGGTTTAAAATCAACTAATTCAGGTGGCAGGAAAATATGTAATTATTTTTCAGCAACAAACCACCATTCTTTGAAATGCACTTATGAAAAATATTGTAAAATGTCAATAGTGCTTTGAATTCTATTAAACACAAATATTCTGATATCATTCTTTATATACTTGTAGCTTTTTAAGACAGAGAATCAATGATATTAAACTGTATTCATTTGTTGTAACATGTACAACTGAAACTTTTATCTCATCTACATAAAATGTAATTTGTAGACTTAAAAAGGGCAGTACCTTCAACAACTTGATAACTAAGAAGCTCATTCAGAACTGGGGAATAAAGACAAATTGATTATCACTCCATGTGCACCTCTTCCATAATTTTATTGTAAAACTATAATCGGATATTTGGCATTTTTTTCTGATACCTTCAGTGGTGAAGTCAAACTCACAGGACACACTTCCATACATATTCTTCAAGGAGCATTGATATAACCCTCGATCTTTCATAGTAGTTTGTACTATTGCCAAGGAGACAGGACTGTCATCTCCTGCGCTATAATTTGAAAACAGTTGGGACGGTAAAGTTTGATAACTATAATTGTGATTGGAGGAATGGATTATAAAAGCATGGAACGGAATGGATTTTGTTTTTAATTGTAAAAAAAAATTGTCTTCACTATAAGATTTTGTTTCTTTTTAAATTTTCTCAAATTTGTAGTTTTAGATTTTTGAACAAAAATAAAGTGCAAAAAATGCTTTGAAAAGCAACAAATAGTTTTCATGACTCTTTACCGTGTCACATCATACATTATGTACAGTACCTAAGCAGTACTTTGGTTTAATTCTTTGTACTCTTAAAGTGTGTCCTCTTATAGTTTAAAGATCACAGAATGAAGATGATTAAAGCTCTACTTTGTTTTAAAATATACATTTCTATGAGTTTGATTTTAAAATACATTGCATTCATTAAAAACAAAATTATGCATTCTCAATATAAATATTGTTTTCTGTAGCTAAATGTCACCTCATTGATCTATATGAGATTTTTATGAGTAAAATAGGAGACATTTGCTTTCCAAGTAGTAAGTTAATTTAAATGCATGTGAATTTGAATGAAGAAAGGAACTACATAACTGAAATGTTTGGGTCTGCCAGCATAGTTCATAGAAGATCATAGATCATAGAATCCCTTGAACCCCGGTCCCTGGCGCTGTGAGGCAGCAGTGCTAACCACTAAGCCAGCGTGCCGTTATTTTTTAATCACTCATGGGATGTGGGGCTGCTGGCTGGCCAGCATTTATTGCCTGTCCCTAGTTGTCCTTGAGAAGGTGAAGGTGAGCTGCTTTCTTGAACTGCTGCAGTCCACACGTCATAGGTTGACCCACAATGCCATTAGGGAAGGAATTCCAGGATTTTGACATCGCAACAGACGGCCATATATTTCCAAGTCAGAGTGGTGAGTGGCTTGGAGGGGAATTTGCAGCTGGCAGTGTTCCCATGTATCTGCTGCCCTTGTCCTTCTAGATGGAAGCTGCTGTCTAAGGATCTTTGGGGAATTTCTGCAGTGCATCTTGTAGATAGTATACACGCTGCTACTGAGTGTCAGTGGAGGAGGAAGTGGATACTTGTGAATGTGATGCCAATCTAATGCGCTGTTTTGTCCTTGATGGTGTCAAGCTTCTTGAGTGTTATTGCAGCTGCACCCATCCGGACAGGTGGGAAGTATTCCAACACACTCCTGAGTGTAGGTATTGAAAAGGCTTTGGGGATTCAGGAGGTGAGTTACTCACTGCAATATTCCTAGCTTCTGACCTGCTCTTGTAACCACTGTGCTTGTGTGGTGAATCCAGTTGAGTTTCTGGTCAATGGTAACCCTAGGGATGGTGATAATGGGGGATTCAGTGATGGTAACACCATTGAATGTCAAAGGGTGGTGGTTAGATTGTCTCTTATTGGTGATGGTCATTGCTTAGCATTTGTGTGGTGTGAATGTTACTCATCACTTGTCAGTCCAAGTCTGGAAATTGTCCAGATCTTGTTGCATTTGAACAAAGGCTGCTTCAGTATCTGAGGAGTTGCGAACAGTGATGAACATTATGCAATCATTGAGAAACACCCCACTTCTGACCTTATGATGGAGGGAAGGTCATTGATGAAGCAGCTGAAGATGGTTGGGCCTAGGTCACTACCCTGAGGAACTCCTGCAGAGCTGTCCTAGAGCTGAGATGATTGACCTCCAACAACCATGACCATCTTCCTATGTGTACGGTATGACTCCAACCACCAGAGAGTTTGCCCCCTGAAACCCATTGATTCCAGTTTTGCTAGGGCTCCCTGATGCCACACTCAGTCAAATGCAGCTTTGTTGTCAAGGGCTGTCACTCTCATCTCACCTCTGGAATTCAGCTCTTTTGTCCACATTTGAGCCAAGGCTGTAATGAAGTCAGGAACTGAGTGGCCCTGGCAGAACCCAAACTGGGTGTCACTTAGCAGGTTATTGCTGAGCAGGTGATACTTGAAAGCACGGTTGATGATACCTTCCACCACTTTACTGATGATTGAGAGTAGACTGATGGGCCAGTAATTGGCCGGGTTGGATTTGTCCTGCTTTCTTGTGTACAGGATATACTTGGGCAATTTTCCACATTTTGGTATCATGTTTGGTGCAACATCATGGGCCAAAGGGCCCATTCGTCTGCTGTACTATTTTATATCCATGGATCATAGAATTCTTACAGTGTGGAAACAGGTCTTTTGGCCCAACAAGTACACACCAACCCTCACAGCACCCACCCAGACCCTCCTAATCTACACATTCCTGAACAATACAGGCAATTTAGCATGGCCAATCCACCTAGCCTGCACATCTTTGGACTGTGGGAGGAAACCGGAGCACCCAGAGGAAACCCACGCAGACACAGGGAGAATGTGCAAACTCTACACAGACAGTCACCCGAGGGTGGAATCGAACCCAGGCGTGTTCTATGTTCTATTGTCGGGTAGATGCCAGTGTTGCAATTGCACCGAAAGAGTTAATGGACTAATAATCCAGAGGGCTAGAATAATAATCCAGAGAATATTTAATTTAAATCCCACTGATGGCAACTGAAAATCTGAATTCAGATTTTAAAACCAACTAGAAATTTAAAAAAGCTAGTGAAGGTGGCCATAAAGCTGTTGCATTGCTGTAAAAACCCAACTGGATTATTAGTGTCTTTTATTGGAGGGAATCATTCTCACATGATCTTGACCATGATAGATTGAATGGCCTCCTCCTGTGTTGTATGTCTATATGTGACTCCATTGCCCACACCAATATGGATGTAGAAATGAAGATGATCCACCTCCACCTTCTCAACTACAAATTAAGGATGTGCAATGAACAATTGCCTAACCAGTGATGCCATCAACCCAAGAATTTTTTTCAAATTATTTCGTAAGCAATTTATACAATATTCAATCGTTGGAAATATTTCACCAGTGCTTAGGACAAATATATTAAGTTGTTAAAAAGATTCAAAACAAGCTTTATACTATGATGGGAATAAATTTGGGGTGGATTCTTGATCTGCCCTATTTGTATCAGTCCTTTAAACCCTGCTCAATGAGAGGAGTTCCACTTTAATCAGGGTGGAATGTCCAGGTATGTTCCCAAGCTTTCCTTGGAATTTGGCCATTTTACCCATATTAGACATCTGTAGAATATATGCCAGATTACTAAGAATCAATTACCATCGTCAACATGGACCAGAAAAAAAGGAGTTTTTTAATCTATTCTTAGTCAACAAAGAAAAATTGGACAGTGGACTGTTTTAACCAGTGACACTTTGATTACAGCTCAACCTGTCTTCAGAAGCATCAGTCCTAGGGGAAGTTTCCAATCTTTGATTTTGGACCATGCAGAATTCTATTGTAGTATTACGTCAATTTTTTGCACTATTGCTAAGCATACAGGCACTTCAGAGCAGGTAAATCTGACTTGTAACTATACAAATATAAAAGAATTTTGAAGTATGTTTGATAACATGTCACAGAAATCCATCATTATTGCATTCAGAATTGGCAGATGACAACTACATTATGAATGTTCAAAAATCCAATGCTACAGTTATGTATGTTGATCTCCCATACTCCATAACTCATAAATCTTGTTACTTCTTTGTAATAAAACATTTCTTAGCACAGATGTCTGCACTGATAGCAACATTTTTGAACAAATGAAAACAGATTTCAATGACTTAAAGTTAGATTGGGAATGTCCTTGGAGTTGGTCACAGTCCATTAGCTTAGACTGGATTTCTGCTGTAACTTTGACAAAGGTATAGTGGCTGAACAGGAACAACTCTGAGGAAACTGCCAATAATGAGACCACTGATGGTCAAGTCACACAGTAGCCAGTCAACAGTAAAATATCAGAAAAATCAATGACCACTAACCACCTATACATCTTACCTTCTTTCTGCTTTAGTCAATACAATTCCATTTTTTGTCCATATAATGGTGGAATCAGCATGGATGTCACAAATCAGGCACCATAGTTTGACATTTCCTGATACATCAGGGAACACTTCAGCGTGGATTTTTTGCATCAGTTTTGGAGCTGGAAGAGAGTTCAGTTCTTTAGCTGCTATGGTGAGATTTTCAAATCTCCACATATTGGTGCTACTAACTGTAGGGGAGTTGTGGTAATGTCATGAGGAAAATGACCTGGGACATTGTTCAATCCTACCATGATTTCTGGTGGAAAATAAATTGATATATGAATTAATAAATGTGGAACTAAACACTAGTCTTAGTGAATGCTGACCACGATAACTGTCATTGATTATTATTAAAAACACATCTGGCACATTAATATGCTTGAGAAGAAAATTTGCCATCCTTTCCTGGTCTGGCCTACGTGTGATTCCAGACTCTCAAAAATGTAGTTGGCCCTCAGCTTCCCTCTGAAATGGCCCAGTAAACCGCTCACTCAGTTCAAAGGCAAAAAAAGGACAGCCACACAAGAATAAAAAGGTAGAATATCAAATGAACACCACCACTTGGTGATGCAAAGAGCAGTAATGAAGCTGATATCATTCTCAAGCAACAGGAAGCAGCTGCTATCTAAAGATGATACTGTAGGATGTAAAATGAAGATGTATTTTGAAGTTGACCTCTTTTCTTTGCAGCATCCCTTATCTTCTAAATAAAAACCGAAAGAACTGTGGATGCTGTAAATCAGGAACAAAAACAAAGTTGCTGGAAAAGCTCAGCAGGTCTGGCAGCATCGGTGAAGGAAAAAACAGAGTTAACATTTCGGGTCCGGTGGCCCTTCCTCGACTGAGGAAGGGTCACCAGACCCGAAACGTTAAGTCTGATTTTCCCTTCACTGATGCTGCCAGGCCTGCTGAGCTTTTCCAGCAACTTTGTTTTCATCCCTTATCTTCTGCCTGGTAGCAGCTTCCCTATCTCTCCCATGCTCCCTGTGGCCACCCCATCCTCCTCAGCATCT